ACCTTTGATGTAACTGACAAGTACATATCTATTATATTTGTAGCAGGTCTCAATGCACTATTGTAACGGGTGGCGCAGAATAAATAGCCCCCTCAATATTTTGATCATAACTTTTTCATTTTTCATGCTATCGAGCTATATTTTTTTTTAAAAGATGCCCCGTGAAATTCTCTACAAAACGAATATATTTTTATTATCTTAAATAATCTCCATTATTTCGTAACATGCGATAGAATTGATGGGTCCAAAATCCCTAACTTTCAAAGGTAACATTTTAATTCTTCGATCACTACTGCTTTTAATGCCACTCTATTTAAAAAAAAAATATATCACAAGATGCAGCGTGAAAAGCTCTACAATCTACAAATTAAAGTTTATTTGAATTGCATACTTTTTGTTTTCGAAAAAAGCAAAACTCTGTACGAATAATTTTTGCCGTTGTGAAAGAATCATTTTTTTTTACATGAACGAGAATCTTTTTTTCTTATTTTATCTTTTTATCATCTAATATATTTTCTTTAAAAAAACCAAACATATCACAAGATGCAGCGTGAAAAACTCTACAGTTCACAAAGAACAGTTTATTTTATTTCTGTATCTTTTATATCCAAAAAAAAACTCTAAATTCTCTGCGATCGGTTTTTGCAACGCCAAAAATTGGTCGCACAGAGAATTGCATACTTTTTGTTTTCAAAAAGTATGCAATTCAAATAAACTTTAATTTGTAGATTGTAGAGCTTTTCACGCTACATCTTGTGATATATTTTGTTTTTTAAATAGAGTGATATTCAAACCAGGAATGATCAAACAGTTAAAATATGCTGTAAAAAAATTCGCAAAAATGTTGTCTTTGAAAGTTAGGGATTTTGGACTAATCAATTGTATCGCATGTTACGAAATAATGGAGATTATTTAAGATAATAAAAATATATACGTTTTGTAGAGAATTTCACGGGGCATCTTTTAAAAAAAATATAGCACGATAGCATGAAAAATGAAAAAGTTATGATTAAAATACTGAGAGGGCCATTTATTCTGCGCCACCCGTTATATCTCAATAGATTTGCAAACATTGATATTGATAATTTCTCTAAAGTTTTAATTTGTTATGTTGATCATATGACATTACTGCATAGCCTGTAATGATGTTAGTAAAACATGATCATAGGTGCACACACAATACTGAGAGCTTCGTTGCATTTAAGATAAATAATATGATGTTTTTTTGTTTTACTAAAAACTAAAAATTTGAAATCTATTGAACGAATTAATAATTTTATGAAAATTTTTTATTCATTCTAGAACCAGCTGAATTACCTGAAAGTAAATATCTTCGTGTTGGAAATAAAAATTTTTATTTCGATAGTGGTTCAAATACTCGTGGTATTTTCTTACGTATATCAGAAGTAAGAAAAAAACAAAGCTTCAGTTTGAAAAAAAAAAAGAATTTTTATCATATTTAGGTTCGCCCTAATTATCGAACCGCTATCACAATACCAGAAAAAGTCTGGTCTCATTTTCGCGATAATATTAATGATTTTATTCTTACAATGAATAATGAACGTCATACTACAACATCAACAATAGATAATTCTCCATTAAATACTGGTGAAAATTCGCCCAGCGATGTAGATGAAGAAAAAAACTAAAAACACTCTTCTAATTATTCTAATCAGTAGTTTTTTAGTTTCTTTTTCTTTTCTTTTCAAACACATAGACAATTTTAATATTTTTTTTTTGACTCTTAAAAAGAGCCCGGTATATGTAGAAAAACGAACACAATGATAAGACCTTGTAAGTGAGGGGCTTTTCCTATGTGTAAAAAAAAAATAACAAAAATAACGTTCTTTTATTATCTCTTCCTTTTAGCCGGTGTTGTTTTCTTAATCTTTTTTTTTTTTTTTGTTTGCTTCTCTATCATTATTAGAATCGAAAGTCTTTCGTACAGTAACCCATTTACTTGTCGCGTATTTTATTAAATTAATGAAACAAACTTCTTGCTTAATGTATCTAGATTAGTCTTTGTATGTATCAAATCGGGAAAGAAGAAATATATATATTTTTTTTTTGTTTTGTATCGATGTATCTTATCTTTCTATTCCAAAAGTGGTATTTTTATTTTTTATCAAGAAATTTATAACACAAAGTCTTGATACAAAAACACACACACACACACAAATAAATTATCATAATAAATGTAATGACAATCAAATATAGTATTATCTTAATATATTTTATCTTTAGATATGAATAATTTATTTTAGCAAAAAAAAAAAAAAAAAGAAATTTTTTTCTAAATGCCTCTATTTGGACGAAGATTATTTCATCTTAATAATAATAATGATGATAATAATAATTTAAAACAAGATAATGAAGAAATTTATACAATTGAACATACAGGTGAAACATTTCATAAACGTGATTTATATGAAAAATTAAAAAAAGCATATGATTTGGAACGATGGACATGTGAATGTACATGGAGAGCGAGTTTAACACATAAAGAAGCATATCAATCAGAAATTGAAACAAGAAAATCATTATCATCAATAGTACCAAGTTATTTTTATAAACCTATTTTTGATATTATATATCATAGTAAGAAAATTTTTTTATAAATAAATTCAAAATTTTTATGATTTTTTTTTTAAATAGATGTAAAACCATTAGAAAAATTAGCTGAAGAAGTATCAATTATACTTGGGTATGAATTGTTTAATTCTATTTTTATTTTAGTTTTTTCTTTTTTTTTGTCTATTGTAGTCAAAGTTTTGTTATTGGTGAAACAATTCAATTTAAAAAGAAAAAAGATAATACAACGTAATATAGATTTCTATATATATATATTATTTTTTTTTTAATATAATTTATATTAAATAGTGTCAAAGGTATTGTTGAACGAATTGAAGATAATGATGATCCAAAAAAACGAACCTCAGAACGTGCATCTGTTCAAGCAAAACCACTTTCAGATAAAGTAAAAAAAAAAAAATTCTTTTATCTATTATCAAATAATTTTATTTTTTTGAAATAAATAGCAAATGAAAAATGTTAAATATTCAATTCAATTATTAGATGAAGATCGTATAGTTAACAATGTTGTACCAAGTGAATTACAGTAAGCAAAAACCAAAAAAAAAAAGTCATTAATAAAACAAAAAATTTTAATTTTTTTAGACGATGTAATTTTATACCTAATCGTGAAAAATTAAAAACATTTATACGTTCATATGCTATAAGACTTGGTAATCGATCAGATAGTCCATGGATATTTTATGATGATTCAATAAAAAATAAATATGATATAAAAGATTGTTTACCATTGGAAACAATTGAAAAATTTAAAAAATCTTTAACAATTACACTTGATGTAAATATAAGAAGAATTTTTTTTTTTTTTTGTGATTATTAAAATTTTTTTTCGCAATAGGAAATTCTTCGTGAACAAGAAAGAATTGCACGTAAATTAGCTGAAGAACAAGCTGCTGCTCTCGAAGAAAAAATTAAATCAATGGAAATTAATAATAATAGTAAGTAAAAAAAAAAAAGTTAACAATCATTCTTGAATAAGAAAATTAAACTACTTACGTAAAGAATCTCTTCAGATGACGTTACCTTACAAATTTTTTATGGAGATTTGACTAAGCTATCTTTTCTGTTAGGCCGTCCGGCTTGATGAGGGGGGAGGAGGAAGCTTCTCTACACTACCCGTCTTGGTCGTCACTTTTTATAAAAGTCGAAAAATATGGAATAGCTGTTTATTGAGAAAAAAAATCTTTGTAAACGAAGTTTGTTTCGATTTGGGCCATAGAAAAGTGGCCCAATTTTGAGGTCTGCTATGTAGTATCTATCGGCAAAACTTGCATTCGCTAGTTGAAATATTTCGATAAAGAAAATCGAGACGACTCGTCTATACTGACGAAATATATGAACAACTAATTAGATCCAAATAGAGCCGATGCATCGATCGCCAATAGCGGCCGGGGAACTATTTTTAGGCAGCGACTGCTCAGCAGATTGACTTACACCTCTAGATCCAAATAGGTTTTTTTTATGTATATGTGCAACAAACTGATTTCACCTTTCTGGAATGAAAAACCTGGATAAAAAACTGACTATCATAGTCACAAGACGTGTTTTCAAGTTAAACTAAAGATCATATCGTCTTCTGTTGAGAAAAGTCGAAAAGTAGTTTGAAACAAAGAGATGATTGCCCTCAGTGCTCTCTCTCTCTCTCTTAAATCTAATATTAATATTAGTATGATTTTTTTTTGTTTTGAAATGAAATATTTGATTACTAAGAATTTTAATAAAGTACTATTAGAGAGAGAAAATTATGCAGAAGTAAATCTCATGAGAGTTTCCGTCACGAATTTGTCAATCGATTAATATTAGAATATATCTCGACTTGAATAGAAGTGAGTAAGTCAAGGGTGAGTCTAACTTACTCAATTTTGTTTAGAAAAGATCATGTTTCAGTGTATCGTTCTAAAAAATTTCTATATTAATCGAAAATTAAATTATTAATATCTACATTTATTTTAGCTTCTATTCCCAATGGTAATTTTGATGATTGTCAAATAATATTATCCGATGATGAAGTTAAAACAAAAATGTCCAATGAAATAAAGATTAAAGAAATTAAATCAATTCCATCAACATCTAAAAGTCCTTCTCAACGACCATCAACAACAAAAAAATCTCATAATTCAATTAAACAAAATAAATCTCCAACAAAACCTAAAAAACAATTAACATTAGATGATATGAAATTTACAAAAAATTCAACAAATCATAATGAATTATTAGAAAAATCATCTGTAACAACATATGATATTGTTATTCCACATTCTTTATTACAAAAATTAGATAAAACACGTCGTGATCGTGGTATAGATTCAAG